ATATAAGAGATAGATACCTGTATCGCCCGTAGCACTTTCCGGCTCATATATTTTGATATAAAATCGACAGTATTACAGGGTCGGTTATCTTCCTTCGCATATTCCTTTTTTTTTGCGCACTTTTAGACTCGCCCAAATGGAGCAACAAGTGATATATTATATAAGGCTTATCCTCTAAATGCGTAGGTATATCCATGTATATCCACACAACAAACCTTCTGTCAACCTTACAAATCTTACAGTGAAGAGCAAAGCTCCGTTTCGCCTACGTTTCGCTTACAAAATGCTCAACTGGCTTTGGAATAAGATTATTCCCATCACGTACAGAACCCGGACTTAGTACAAAAATTCAATTTCATTATTACTTGATTTTTGTTGGGAGATAATACTACGGATCATCACCTCACATTTATAACTCTGCTGCAATGCGGCTACGGATTCCGTTTCTGTATCCGCACAATGTACAACAAAATAATCATTTTTGCAAGTTTTACTCAGTACATTGACTAACAATACTAGCAGTATTATCGGTATAATATTGTGTTTACAACAAAATTTTTTAACAAAAATCTTGTTATTATTTTGGATATTACTTTGAGAAATGCAAAGTTAATGGCACGCGCATCTATTGTGTCTATAGTCTCATTTAAAATTGAATTCGCATTCTGTAGCGAGACGCCTCGATTCACTTCGCGATTTTTCTTTGTCGTCAACGAGCTAGAGAAATACGCCCGCGTATCATTCAAATGCACTGTCTTGTTATGCAAAACACAGTGGAAGAAGATCATCAATATAGTTTTCTTTCCTTTGAACTAGATTAACTATATACATACACATACATATATATATATATATATGTATATATATATATATACCATATATACTTATATGTATACGTAGAAAGAAAAAGAGAGAAAGATTTTTTGAGAAACGTTCTAGAGTTTTCTTTATAATGAATAACACATTTTTTGATTATATTTTTTGCACATCTAATACTAAAAAAAGATAATATTCACATAATTTTAATAAAGAAATACATAAACACGAAGAATACATAAACTCCAAGTATACATATACACGATCACATCTGAAATGATATTAGGAAGAAGTTTTGCAACTTCTACGATGCAGAAAACTTTGTCAAGCGCGAAAAAAATTCCGTTGCATCTAGTTCAAGTTTCAAGGTTTGAATAGATTAGGTTAGGTTACAAAAGAAAAACTTTTCCATTCTTTAAATTATAAGAAGACATTGAAACCAGAAACTAATTTTAGTTACATTATAATAAAATTAGTATGCAAACTAGAAAAATTCGAGTTTAAAACAAAAGTTCGGTCAATTTAAAACATTTATTTTTCTGGTAAAAAGAAACAAGATTAAATTGTTTTAAACTAAAAAATACGTCAAAGGAATGAAAGCATGTTTTAAAATGCGCATGTTTTTCAAAATTGATCGCATCTGCATCTCTGCTCTTGTTGCAATAATTTCAACGAACGAAGAGAACTCTAAAGTCGAGACTTAAAATACGCTTTCTCATCTTCATTAACCAAACTTTTGTGTTCACTGATGAAGATGAACGCGCGCTCGCATTGTACACATGCATAGCGTGTGTTCGCCGGGTAGAGAGATAATACCTATCCATTTAACATACAAGATATACTGTATGTACATATTCGGTAACGCGTCTGATATCGACCACCGCGTACAGTCAAGACATATTACATCCTTTGCCATTTTTCAAGCACATACGTATATGCAAAAGCAAAAGACCGCACATCTTTCGGGAACCAATAAAAATATTTTTCCTCCTACAACGCCTTGTATGTAGATGAACGTCAACACGAAGCAATACTTCGCTTCGATCGGCGTGAACCTGCATATTTGTAAGCGGAATACACAAACCTATCGCCCTTTAAGATCT